GTCAGACCTCCTGGCTTAAGACTCAATTCCTTGAATTTGTGTGTTTGTAGGCAAATTATTTTCTTTCTTTGAGTCAGTTTCCTCTTTTTTAAAAAAGATTTAGCCGGGCGGTGGTGGCGCACGCCTTTAATCCCAGCACTCGGGAGGCAGAGCCAGGCGGATCTCTGTGAGTTCGAGGCCAGCCTGGGCTACCAAGTGAGTTCCAGGAAAGGCGCAAAGCTACACAGAGAAACCCTGTCTCGAAAAACCAAAAAAACAAAAAAAAAAAAATTAAAAAAGATTTATTTTTATTATGTGTCTATGTGTGTGTTGGGAGGCGGGGTATGTGCCCATGAGTACAGGTGCCCACAGAGGCCAGAAGAGGGCGTCATATTCCTTGGAGCTGGAGTTATAGGCGGTTGTGAAATGCCTGATATAAGTACTGGGAACCAAACTCAAGTCCTCTTCAAGAGCCATAATTGTTCTTGACTGCTGAGCTATCTTTCCAGCCTCACAATACTAAGATCATTGAGTGGTTACAGTTCAATGAGATACTCTGGACACTGTGTGGCATGGCATGTGGCAGGGAGGCGTAAAGAGATAAATGGCAAAAGCTCTCATTAGCAGTGAAATGCTGTGGCTGCTTTATCTCCCAGTTCAGTGTCCTTGGTATGTGTTCGGCACTGTGGAAATGGCAGCTTTTCATTTTGTTCATTTTTTGGTGATGGGGATCAAACAGGGCCACTTGAATAATAATCGAGTGCTCTAGCACTGACCTACATTCCTGAGACTCCACAGTGGATGGATGAACTGGAACCATCTCGGGTATCTTCCACAGGGTATCTTACATAGGGGTCTTACATAGGGCAGTGGTCCCAGAACCAACTCTATTAAGGTAGACAGAGTTGAAAAGTCCCTAAGTGACCTTCCTATCAAGGTCAAGCTTCTGCCAAAGGGAAGGCTCATGTTATTTTTACAAAAGCTGTTGCCACTCTCTGAGAAAGTGAGCCTACTGTATTAGAAGGTCCAGATACTGTTTTCTTATTCTTCCCTGGGGCAATCAGCCAGAAGGCTGGTGCAGTATACTCTCTAATGCTAGGCTTCCTCCATTCTCCACCCTTCTCCTTCCTGAGACAGGGTCCTCCTACGTTACCATACTGCCTCAAACCCCTGGGCTCAAGTGACCCAACTGCCTCAACCTTTTGAGTAGCTATGACTACAGACATGCGCCACTGTGCCCAGTCAGAGTTTTGCTGTTTTGAAATATAGGCTTACATGTAAGGGACTGTTCACCTGCAGATTGTCAAAAAGAGGTGCTTATCCCTATAACACCAAAATCAATTGCTAGAACGCCAATCCCCTATGCTTGTTTCCTCTATGATCAAACTAAAAAGGAACACTTTTCTCCCTTTCTGCATTGGGCAGCAGTCAATGCAGAGATGCAGAACTGGTCAAAGTGCTGGGAATAAGTGTCTACTGAACATTACATCAGACACACCTGCATCAACCCAGCCTCCAAAGCTCAGGGAACACCTCCAAAGAGAGATGGAAAGAATGTAAAAGCAAGAGGGTGTGTGTGTGTGTGTGTGTGTGTGTGTGTGTGTGTGTGTGTGTGTGTGTTCTGCCTACATGTACGCTGTGTTTAGGACATGACATGGCCATTGCACCCATGAAGTCATGGTTTCCTGCACAAGATCAAGCCAAAAAGATTAGTCTGGATTCCATCAGGCAGCACTAATTGGACTCAGCGGGTTACAAAATTTTTTTTAAAAGTCATGAAGGTTGGAGGGGGACTTTTTGAGGAGTGTCCAGAGGAGTAGGGGGTTGTTGGGGCACATATGGTCAAGACATTTGTTTATATCTACGAAATTGCCAAAGAACAAGCAAAAGATATTCTTCAAAATGTTTCATATGAGTATGGTTGGAACTAGAAATATTTTGGATTTCAGATTTTGGAATATTTGCCATACATATGAGAAATCATGGGGACTGGCTCAGAAAGTCATGAGTACTTCATGTACACCTTACATACATAGGCTGAAAGCTATATATAATCAGATTGTCAGTGTACCCGTTTGTATATATGTGTGTGTATGGGTGTTTCACCTGCATGTATGTCTGTGCATCATGTGGGTACCTGGTGCCTGAGGAGCTAGAAGGGGACATCAGATCCCCTGGGACAGGAGTTACAGTTGATTATAAGCCACCTTGTGGGTGCTGGAAATTGAATCCAGGTCCTCTGGAAGAGCAGCCAGGGCTCTTAACCACTCAACCATTGCTCTCTAGACCTTTCACCTATTTTAACTGCAATCTGCCACAGATTTGATGTGGAATTTTCTACCCATTATGTTGTATTACACTGGAAAGTCTTCTGAGTTTGAAGCATTTTGGATTTCAGACTCTTGAATTAGGGATACTCAATGTAAAACTTCAAGTAAATGTTACTGGGAAACTTGCAGGTAAGGCTCTGTGTGTGTGTGTGTGTGTGTGTGTGTGTGTGTGTACCAGGGAAGGCATTTCCTGTTACTCTAATTGAGGGTGTGTGGTTTTCAAGACGAGGTTTCTCTGTGTAGCCCTGGCTGTCCTGTAACTTGCTTTTTAGACCAGGTTGGCCCCAAACTCACAGAGATCTGCTTGCCTCTGCCTCCTGAGTGCTGGCATTAAAGGTGTGTGCCACCACTCCCAGCTATTATTCTAATTTTTTTTTTTTTTTTTTTTTTTTTTTTGGTTTTTCGAGACAGGGTTTCTCTGTGTAGCTTTGCGCCTTTCCTGGAACTCACTTGGTAGCCCAGGCTGGCCTCGAACTCACAGAGATCCGCCTGGCTCTGCCTCCCGAGTGCTGGGATTAAAGGCGTGTGCCACCACCGCCCGGCCTATTCTAATTTTTATTATTGATGTATGATGTGTATCTATGTGCGAGCACAGTGCACATATGTGGAGGTCAGAGGATAACTCTAGAGTTGGTTCTCTCTTTCTTTCCCCATGGGTTCTGGTGATTGATCTCAGGTTAGGCTTCTGACAAGAGCTTTTATTCACTGCCCCATCTCACTAGCCATGTAGTCTTTTTTATTACATGTATATTATTTATTTGTATATGGGTAGACATGTGCCACAGCATGTGTGGAGGTCAGAGGACAATCTGTGGGAGTCTGTTATTTTCTTTCAGCATGTGGGGTCCTGGGGATGGAACTCAGGTCATCAGCCTTGGTGACAAGCGACTTTACCTGCTGAAACATTTTGCCTGATCCCATGTATTCCTTTTAAAATAAGAAAAAAACTTTTTAAAATCCTATTCTTGGGATTGGGAGATGCAGCTCAGTGGTAGAGCCGCTGACTACCAAGAGCACTGTCATAGGTGTTTACTAAACCCAACAGGTCTACATTGTGGGGCTCCTGCTGTAAGTGAGCCCAAGATGCTGGGTGTGGGGGATCAGAAGTCACAGCAGCTGTAGGTGAAGCTCTAAAGGCTACACACGTGCTAAGTCTGATGCTGAAGGTGATTAGTGACCTGTGAGGATAACAGTGAGAGTGACTCAAAAGGTGACTAAGTACCAGGCAGGGGGCCTGTTAAATACTGGTTTAACTGTGGCAACAGCCGAGTGATGACAGTGAAAACAACTGTGACAACTGGTGTGATGTTTAGCTTTGTCAACTTGACACAACCTAGACTCATCTGCGAAGAATGTCTCACTAGTGGATTCTGTGTGTGTGTGTGTGTGTGTGTGTGTGTGTGTGTGTGTGTGTGTGTGTGTGTGTGTGCGGGTGTCTTGAGTCAACCAATGCCAGAAGACCCAGTCCACTGTGGTCAGCACCACTCCCCAGATGCGGGGTCCTGAAATGTGTGAGAAATCCAACTGAGCACAAGAGAATAAGCATGTGTGCATTCACTTCTCTCTGCTCTTGACCGTGGATGTGATGCGACTAGCTGTCCGAAGTCCTTATCCTGATCTGGCTTCTCTGGACTAACTTGCAATTGTAAACTGAAATAAATCTTTCTCTCCTTGCTCCTCCTCCTCCTCCTCCTCCTCCTCCTCCTCCTCCTCCTCCTCCTCCACCTCCTCCTCCACCTCCTCCTCCACCTCCTCCTCCTCCTCCACCTCCTTCTTCTTACTATGTAGCCCTGGCTCTCCTGGAACTCCTTCTGTAGACCAAGCTGGCCTCAGATTCACAGAGATGTGCCTGCTTCTGCCTCCAAAGCACTGGGATTAAAGGGTGGGCCACCAAGTCTGACTCACTATGTTGCTTTTTGTCAGGGTATTTTATCACAACGGAAATGAACTAGAACAGCTGGCTAGAGTGCTCTAATGAGCCGAACTGTTCGAAGTTTATGGGCCTGGCAGTGGGTGCAAACCGCACAGTGACAGTGAATACGACAGGCCAGGTGACCGCAGCAATTTGAGTGACAGCTCTGATCCATTAAAACGGCACTGCATTGAGTCAGGCTGACGGCGACAGTGCTGGGGACCCCTGAATATTGTTACTGCTGATGGACTGCTGTAATCACCGAGGGAGCTCGACACTGCAACGAGAAGCTTGGATCTGGGCGTCGGTAGTGGGCACAAAAAGGTGATGTGACGTGGGGACAGTATTCATGGGCCAGCGCCAACGGGACTTCTAATGTTAAGTGAAGCCGACACCCAAACGTTTGACCGCCAGGACGCCCGGATCGGGGTTCTAAACGAGCGTGTGCTGCTATGAGCAAAACGAGAGAGAACACGGGTAAAAGGATCGCTGCGAACACTCACGCCAAGCCCAGTCCAGAAATTAGTCCCGCCCCGCACGTGACCGTGTTTGTTGTTATGACCACGGAAAGAAACCTTTGCTGTCTCCTCGCCGCTAACCTCAGAGTTGCCTGGGGTAAGCGGCGACTACACCATGTAAACTTCTCCCTGGGAACTGGGCGCAGGTCAGAGGTCAAGAACAGACTACTCGCCAGCTTGTCCTGAGAGCCTACCATTGGTGGCGAGTGCTCACGTGACGCAGGCACCGCCTTCTCGCGAGACCGCCCCCAGCACGTGACTATAGCGAGAGCACATCCGGGCCTCTGCCCTCAGCGTCCCCGGCCCCAAGATGGCTACCTTTTGGCGTCTCTGGCGCTGTTGAATGGAGAAAGCTTTATTGTTCCCTTCGGGCAGGAGTGTTCGTGTCCTCTATGGCGCTGTCAATAAAGAACGGCAGTTTGAATCGGTACTGAACAGGTAACCATAGAAACGGCGCTGGGACTCCGCGTGGAGACCCCTGTTGCGGCGGAGGCCCGAGAGACTCCCTGAGCGAGGGGCACCCCGGGACCCTTGCGCACTGCGGGCTACGTACGTGGCGAGCTCCGTGGGGGCTCGCGTCGGTCACAGCCGCCGCTGTTCTCTGGACGTGGCCCGGGGAATGGCCCTCACCCCGGGCGTAGTCTCGGTCGTGGTCACCTGCGGGCGGACACGGGACCCCTGCCTGGCAACTGCGGGCTTTATTACCCAGCTCCCTGCGACGCGCCAGCCGACACCCGCACTCCCAGGGATCCCTCCCCGTCCCTGCTCTCAGCTTTGGTTTACTGCGAGACAAGGATGGTTTATCCGTTTTAAAATAGTTGTGGGGAAATAGAAGTCATATGAAATAAAACTTCAGCTCCCAGAAGTGAAGTTGCACCGAGACGCAGCCATGTTCATTGTTTATGTGTTGTCTGGCCGCCTCCCTGCCGCGGGGCGGGGGAGTGCTCGCAATTGCTTGGCTTCTACTCGGCTTTGATGGAAAGGCCCATAAAGCCGGAGTCATTTCTCTCTGGCGCTTTATAGAAGTTTGCCAACCCTGGCCCGAGGCACAAGTAGACTGATCTAGTGTTCAATTGACACAGTACCCTGGCTTCCATGACATGGTCAAGCTAGTAGTTTCTCATACTTTGCAATGTTACCATCTGCCCAGTGCGTGCAGTAGACCATCTACTTTATGTTTATATATAGCGTTGCAAATATTTTTCTTTTGCAAAAGAAGTGAAGTGTGATTAAGCTGTTTTAGGGTGTACTAGGTTATAGGGCTGGCAATTTGAGCCTGTCACTGGAAACCCCCTGTTGCCTAGGTCAGATTGCCTCAGACTGTTAAATTTTCTCCCTCTGGGAGTGTTATTCCTTGGAATTGTATCCAAATCTTGCTATGGGTTGTAGCTGTTTAAGCAATCTCAAAGTGCAAATTTTTGGTACGTGGCATAAATTATACCCACTGGTCATGGTGACATGGTTCTTCTGTGACGGTATTTCCCAACTTGTGTTTTGTTTGTTGAAACTTGGTCTCATGTAGCCCAGGCTGCCCTGGAACTATAGCCAAGGTTGGCCTTGAGCTCCTGATCCTCCTGCCTCTTCCTCCCAAGTGCTGAGATTACAGGCATGTGCCCCCTTCCCAGCCCCCTCACACATTTAACAGTTGTTTTTTGTTTTGTTTGTTTGTTTTAACACCTCAGGTTGCATAAGTGAGTTTAATCAGTAGTTCACTTCTACTGTGTGCAGATATAATATATTCCTGGAAATGTATTAGTGCACAAGATAACCATGACCTCTGTCTCTGTGGAATTTAAATTCTTCAGCGGGCTTGGGTGATAGACAGGTACACAGAAATAATTTTTCCTCCCTCTTTTGAAACAGGGTCTTGCTGTGCAGTCCAGGCTCACCTTTAACTGAGATCATCTTGCCTTAGCTTCCAAATGCTGGAACTATAGTTGTACATTTGCCTATCTGACAAAAATAATTTCAAACACCTATCTCGTAGCATCATAGCAATAAAATACTCATTGAGCGTTTCTTTGTGCCAGATACTGGCACTAAAGCTTAATATGAACTGTCACTTAGTTTTGACACAGATAGTGTTAGGATTAACATTTCCCCAGGGGAGAGATGGCCAGTTTACATGGCTTATGCATAGGGAGCATGGAGCTGAAGTAAACAGATCATGCCATGCTGTGTTCCATCTGCTGTCTTTCCTGCCAGCTTGTGAGGTCCACAAGAGTAATGCCACATCTTACTTTTGGGGCCTCAGCTGCTAGCCAGTGCCACAACTTGGTTTTCAGGAAAATAGTAAATATACAAATCTTGAACACCCATTGAGCAAATATTTGAAATTTGTTCTACACCAAGAGCGCTGGTAGAGCTGGGTGGCTTGGCACATTGCAGAGTTTTTGTCTCTTCTTACAGTGGGGCCTCCTCAAAAATCATTGCTTATTGAAGAAGAGAAAGTATCTTAATAGGTCCCGAGTTTTCTTTCCGAGATAGGGTCTTCTTGGTCTTGAACTGGTAATGTAGCCTATCCTCTTGCCCTAGTGTGGAGTGCTGGGGTACAGTGTGCTTACTATTGGATGTAATTATATTTAATTGGAAAGACTAACCCAAATTTTACCCCAGATGTATTAAATAATAGTGAAAATTCAGACATGTTACAAGCAAAGTGAGGGGCAAGAGGATGTGGTTTTCTGTCTTTTGGGGAGAGGAGGAGATAGATTTCTCTAGTGTTTAAGGGCATAGAGGGCAGCTTTCCCAAGTGGAACTTAATTGTTCTTTTAAATTATTTAAAAATTATAGTGTGTGTGTGTGTGTGTGTGTGTGTGTGTGTGTGTGTGTGTGTGTGTTGGGGGAGGAGAGTGTGGATGGGTGTAGGTGCCTGGATGCTGTAGTGTGATTGTGAAAGGAAGAAGACAATCTACAGGAGTTGGTTTTCTCCTACCACCATGTGGTTCCACCATGAGGGATTGAAGTCAGGTCACAGACTTGGCAGTGGGTACCTTTAGTCCACTGAGCCATTCCACCGACCCAGAGTTAAGTTTTTAAAACCAAGCTATACAATTATCTACACAGAAAGTTTTTCATCATTTTAGTGCTTTAAGCTTAGAACTGTTAGTGTTCTTCCATCAGAGATACCTGCATTTTGGGGGCATTGGGAATGGAACTGAGGTCTGCCCCACACCCAACATGTGCTCGGAGCCTGAGCTGCACCTTCAGCCCCAGTATCTGCACTTTCTTAAGGCTTTTTGAGGAAATGCTGGGTGGTGACTCTAGGGTGTGTTTGCAGTTGGTTGTGGGTTTCCTTTCTATGTCTTTTTAATAGTAGCATCCTTTAAGCCAAGTGTGGTGGCACACACCTTTAATCTGTGCATTCAGAAGGCAGAGGAGGGTGGATCTCTGTGAAGTCTGATGCCAGCCCACAAAAAAAGCAAGAATCATGAGGCTCTGTCTCAAAGAACAAAAGCATAGCATCTTTACCGTGGTGTGGAATACTTGAAAACACCTTTTGAATAGATGTGAATGGAGCAAGAGCATGAGAAACTATAGGCCATGCTCAATCGATGGGATGCTGGAGCTGTCAGATGGAAGGATGGATGACAAGTTTACTTTATGCTGTATGCAGTAACCATGTTAGGCATGTCATCAGAAGATGTCATCCAGGCCAGCAAATGGAGCTGGGAGCTGGCCACAGAGTGGCATGTTAATGCAGTATTGAACTGCAAGCCCAGAATTAAATTGCTATTTTGGGTTAGGGTGGGACCTTTCCATCTGAGCTTTGCTGTTTCTACTTTGTGATTTGGGTCTGTTGGGTTCCAGTAAAGAGTAGGTGGTAACGCCAGCTTTGAAGCATGGTATGAAACTGCAGGAGGAGCCAGGGCATACCAATTTGTTTTTCAATCTATTTTATTTCAGTTCAGAGCATCAGTGCAGACGGCAGCCCAGGAAAACAAGCTGCACTTTGGCAACACTCAGCTGCGTTTACAGATTGAGGAAGACTGAGGGTAACCCAAGAGCGGCTTGTTTTCCTGGGCTGTCCGTCTGAGATGATGCTCTGAACTGAAGGAGAATAGATTGAAAAACAAATTGGTATGCCCTGTTGCTTCATTCTCAGTACCCACGTTACCCCTCCCCAGCACACCTGGGGGAAGGCACTGGCCCCTGAGCCGTTCTCAGCCCTCAGCCCTGTGAGCATTTTGATTTTTCTGAGGAAATTGAATTGGGGTATGTACTTTTCTGAACTTCCAATAGCTTACCTTCCAAAGCCATCATCTGGATAATGTGGAGATGCAAGCTACTAACCACCCAGGAAGGAATTAAATATTAAGGACATTTAAGTTCAGAGATGAAGCTGTCATTTTCTTTACTCTGTGCAGAGGGTACAGTATTTCATTCACAGAGAGCACACAGTGTGAGGCCCTGGCAGCCCTCCAGGGAACAGAGGGCAAGGAAAGAAAGAGATTTTCCTTCTGTTTCCCTGACATTCCTAAACTTGGATCCTCAAAACCTTGACACCAAGTAACTCATTTCCTTACGCAGAGTAACTGGAGTGTAGATGATCCGTGAAAAACCGACATTGTTAATCTCCAGGGGAATGTTGACTCCCGATGGATCTATGAATCCTTTGAAGATGCCTACAAATCCTCGAGAATGCCATTCTTCCAGGAGAAGAGCCCATCACTTTAATCAGATCTCAGAGTCCTTGACCCCTCAAAAGGAGCATAGCTGATAATGAATGTCATATGTAACACCAGACTGAAGCCATGCAGTCGGTCACTGTACAGATCTGGGCCCTTGACCTGGGTTTTCAAAGTCCTTTTTTAGGTTTTGTTTCTCGTATGAAGTGGTCAGACATAATGGATAAACTTAAGAACATGCTTCAAAACGCCTTGTGAATGTTAGTGCTTTACAGAAGACTAATGAGATATGGATGGTGTCTCTTAGCGACCTTGTTAACACATCTGCCTGCCTGCCTGCATTGGATGGATTCAAGTGGCACAGGTTGGCCTTGAGTTCCCTGTGTCAACAAGGATGACCTTGAAATTCCTGATTCTCTTGCCTTTTCATTCCCAAGTACTAGGCTTACTGGAATGGGCCACCAAACTCAAATTGTTTCTTCTTTCTTAAATATTTGGTGTCTTTCTTTTCAGTGCCAGGGATTAAAATCAGAACCTTGCACATGCTCACCATGCACCCTATCACACAGCTTCATCACTGCTGCTAATTTTGTATTTAGATTGACCTGGTGTGATTTTTTTTTAATGTGTACACCATGGTGGTTGATTGTGTATTACATTGTATCACCTTGCAAAATGGTAAAGTCTAGTTGGGCTGCCTCTTTGGGTCAGCAGGAGATGGTGGTAGCAGCTGCTTTTCTGTTGGTCTCTGCTCCCCTTTCTCCCTCTCTGGTTAAAGCTACTATGACCTATGTGCTGGATGTTGCAACA